TTTTTTAAAATATATGTTTATAATATTAATTTAAAAATATTTTTATAATATAACTAATAAAGTATTTAAAGTTTAATATGACTAGTAAAATATTTTTATAATTAGCTTCAAACCAAATCATGTTCCATCCATATTGTATAAATTTAAAGTAATAGATGTAATCATCAATATCTAATCTAACTTCTCTCAATTTAGAGGTAATAAATATATCGATACATTGTACATGTTTTTAGAGATGGTTTTATTTATAATCATCAAAATCCCTATCATGACTAGATAGAAACCAGGATCAATTACCAGAATGCTTCTATATTATTATATTCATATATATTAACATAGTATTAACAAGAGCTATAAGCATGTTTGTGACATCGTATGACCCCTCGACAACATCAATGAAGTCTCCTCCTCAGTAGAAACTGTGCCTTTGAGGTATCAACTCATCAGAAGGAATTCTGGAGTCCGCACCAAGACATGCCGTTCTGCATCTGTTGTTCATCTCTGCCTGCGCTGCAAACACGGCACAAACAGGCCGGTGGTCCGAGAACTTCGACTCCCCTCTCAAGTACTGCAGCTGTTCCATCCCATTTCCATGCCATAGTATCCGATCGCACCTGTGTGAGCATTCAGGAATTTAGACCAAGTTTTTATGTTGCTTTTGAATGAATGAGAGAGAGAGAGAGAGAGAGAGAGAGAGAGAGAGAGATTACCAAGCTGGTGTTCTTCGCTTCTTCTTGGATTTGACGGTCTCACCAGCGTAGATGTCGGAATTCTGTGAGTATTTATAGGTTGGAGCAAATGAGATCTTCCCTTCCTTCCACCCATTGAACACCCTTCCTGCCTCTCTTTCTATCTTCAACTGTAATACAGAAAATCACACACTGTCTTCGGAAGAAGAAAGAGTAGATCTAGAGTTGATGGTTTACCTGATCCCTTTCCAGGAGAGAGTTCCAATCATTGTTCCTGAGCAGAGATCTTGTCTCCTGATAGCTTAGTGCAACCCGGTAGTTCAGATCACCAAACCATATCACTCGACTTCCTCACACAAAGCAAATGTAAACATGGTGGAGTTAGATCTCGGAGAAGACATGGTTTGGATTGAGGTTTGGAAGAGGAAGTTGTGCGTGAATCCATACTCGTGGTCTAAGATTCTTTCAGGAATCCGCTGACATGGAGACTTGCAGATCCTCGGGAACTGCGCGCTCTTGAGGATCTCGGCCACGTCAGAGTTCCTCTTCAGTTCGTCGCCTTCCTTCTCGCCTGACGCCAAGTGGCTGCAGACGAAGCAAAAACTCGTTCGGTGCAGCGACATGCTCATCGCAATGCATCCCTGAGAGCATCGGTCGCTCCTGTAAGCTACCTCGGTTGCCACTGGCAGAAATCAGAACGGAGATATGGAGCTAACCTTGTTACCGAGACAGCCCATGATTCCCCTTCCGATGGTGGCCACCCTAAGGTGGCTAACGTGTTGCACGAGCTCCCTCCTGACCCAAACCGAGAGGAAGATGCCCACCATCTGCTTGCTCGCGACGAGGCAGTAGTTCATGTTACCCTTTGCCTCGGAGCAAGCGAACTGCGGCGTCGCGGAATCCTCGTCGGAGGAGCTCGACTCGTCCCTGGTGATGAACTCCCTCAGCTGTCTCGTCCTTCGCCGGACGCAGGATGGCTCGGAGGTGCAATTGCACGTCTTCACTAGGGCGCCATCCATGCGATAATTCCTGCTGAGGACTTTGAGGGAGGGCCTTTGGAAGAAGAGAAGGCCGCTCGTGGACTTGGAGTCCTTGCCATGTTTCCCATCGTTGCTGGAATCGGAGTCGTCCGGCGAGCACTTGCCGTGCTTGTTGATGGCTTGGCTGATGAGGGCAAGCCATTTCGCCGCGGGCTCGTTGTCCTCGATCACTAACACATTGCCTGCATTTAAAGGAACTATTTCCTGAAACCTGCAAAGCAAATACGAATCAAAGAGGTCCACATCGATCATAGACTCTGCGGAGCTAATCGAGAGCAGAGGCAGCTGTCGTTGGATATATTTGATTGATGTCAAGAAAGCCAAGTTATGCAGCACAGATTCCTTACCCTAAGACATAGATGTCATGCGATCCTTCTACCTGTAGAAAAGATTCGAGGTCGAGGTCATCGCTGGGTGGCTTTCCCCCCACGTTCCATGTGGCAACAAACATGCTGCATGAGGCAGACAATGAAAGGATCAGATCGATGAACACGACGCTAAAGGATGAAATGACTGCCACCCTACCGGAACTCCTGAACATGACGAAAAGCTTTTCTTCTGAGGCTTTCCAAACTACAAAGATTCAGACTCTCGATTCGCGAGCTCGAGTGCCTCTCTGAAGAGAAGTGGGGATTAGATTGAGTACTACTCGTTCGGTCATCAATTTGCATGCATGTAATGAGATGATACGTAAATCACCTGAAAAGCTGACCGAGGATGCCTCCAAGAACGTCCTCCTTGCCACGTACGTCTTCTCAAGATCTATGCCCATAACCATGAATGATTCGATCAGATTAAAAGGAGAAAGGAAAAGAAAAAGGCAGAAGGGATTTCGATCGGTACCGAAAACAATCTCGGTTCCGGGGAATATGTCTTCCTCCGATCGTCTCTCGTTCTTGCCTTTTCTGCTGAAGATGTTCGACAAAATGGACTGGCAAACGGAGGAAAACGGTCAGAGAGGAAAGCAGGAAGTGGGGAACCGGGAAACATGGAGGTGGCGGGCACGAACCTTCTTCTTCTTATCGTTCTTGAAGGAATCATCGGACGCATTGGACTTGGTCATGTCGTCGGAGGTATCGCAGCTTGACATCCAATTCAGAAGCTCACCTGGCGCCGATGATGGTATCTTATATGCGTGCAGTTAGGTCGGCGTCATCGCTTCGGTACTGGCGGAAGGGAATCGCCGGCGACGGGAATGGCGGTGGGTGGGAGGGTGAGGGGGGAGGAAGGGAAGGCAGAAGTTTGATGGCTGGGAGGGGATGTGGAGGTGGCAAGGGAAGCAAAGGCTTGAAATGGGAGGGGGAGGACAGAAGGTGGCTACTGGTTGGAGGGAGCTCCTACTTCTTCGTTTGCCGTTGGCTTTTGTTGAGGGTAAACGAAGCCTCGCGCCACCTCCCCGCCCCTAACAAAACGACAGCCAAGACACAGTCTTCTTCTTCTTCTCTCTCATCAATGATCTCGAGGATACCACCTGCAGGAGAAGAACATTAAGGATTCGGAAACGAAGGGAAATGACCTTTTTCATTGATTGATTGGATAATGAAAGGAAACAGTTATTGATTGATTTAGGTTTGGAACAATATATTTGAAGTTATTTTTCGGTGATTGTTTGATGTAATCTACCATAATATTTAATTTGTTGAAAGGAACTCTATGAATGGGGATACCGGTATTGGTTATAATAATTGTTATCTCCATTTGTATATGCCTATTTTCTATATTAAAATTCCTAAGTCTTAAATATATGTTTTATATCTTTATGTTCTTTAATATTATTAAAAGTATTTGAAATTTTAAGAATATATAAGTTTTTTAGTCATGAGGATAAAGTGAAAAAGGTATATTATTTTCATTACCCCCTTATTCCCGTCTCAATGTCATATACTTCTTTTAATATAAATAAATTATTTTTATATTTAAAATATATATTATTTTATCCTCTCATCCTCTTTTATTATTATTATTTGCTTATTTATTTCTATTATAAATATTATACATTATATTGTTAAATAAGGTATTATGACGATAGGATTTGGCCATGTTTAATAACTGTTCTTTTCGATCGTTTGACTATATTTGAGTAAATTATTATGTAATCTTTTTTTTTTACCAGTTAATACCATAATAACGATCATGATACAACCCAAAGGATTATAAAATATTTAAATTAAAATTAATGATAGTATATTCATCAAACTGTGTTTCATTGAGAATGATCGAAACACATAGGTCAACAGATGAGGAATATGAGGAGAAAACATTCTGAATTCATCATCTTACACGCAGCTCTTATATGGGCAGTAGTAACACAAGAACACCCCAATTCAAGAATACACACATCAAAATTGAACAAGTAGTACAATTTGCATCATCTTCTATGTTGTAGGAGCTAAGAGATCATAAAGGAGTGAAGGTTGAAGTTTATGCCATCTCCAACCAGGAAAAGCTCCTCAAGTATTGGTAGCAGAAGCCTGTGCAAACAAAACAGGGACGCAAATTAAGATCGTAGTTTGTAGGGTGTGGTATCCAAATCAAGATAGAAGTTACAAGCTTACCGGTATTACTGGACCATTTCATCTAGCTTCTGTCTGTAAAGAGCCAAACTCTGCATTCAAAGGCAGCAGATTTATGTTACTCCCAACAAAGAAGCATGAGAGGAGCAAATATGAGAGATGCAAAAGCATTCATAGAATTTATCGTAGAGTCGTTTTGCTGGACTATGGATAAAAAAAAGAAAAATGTCGTCGTGTTGCATTATAAGATCAGATTTTCGATTTTCTTGATGAACTAATAGTCTAAATGAATAATAGAAAGACTAACAATCCATATCATCATCCACAGTGTTTTCAATATTTAGATGAGTACAGAAAATGAGTTGCTAATAATACAGTCAATTGTCTGTAATCTTACTCTTGATATGGATGATGAACTCATGGCAAAAGAAATTCATAATAAAGATTTGTTAAAAAGATCAAGTGTTGGGTTTTGAAGGATATCCACATGATAACTGATTTAAATGGATCCAACCAAGGAGGAACTCTTTTATGCTACCTAGATCTAAGAATATTATGAATTGAAAGGGAAATAACAAGCTTTCCGATGGATAGCGATGCTTGTCTCAAAGAAACAGAGGAGCTGACGAGCATATATATCTGAAATGGCAATCCAGATATCCCTAATAGTGTGCAAAAAAATGTTTGATATAACGTCGAAATACAGAATTATAAGAATCATATAAGGTTCCATCTTCTTCTGTTTTCTAGATGTCAAAAAACAAAGCCACCATGTAACTCTTAAGCTTTCTACTTCCATGCATGAAGACCTACATGTAGAGGTATCATAAAGCAAAGCAGCTAAATTTTTACCATGAAGATACAAAGAGATCATAATGAGGAAAGAGCAGAAATATGAACAGAAATAAAGTTGCATACTCTGGTATAAGCATAAACTCCAGCCTCAGAAGGACCAATTGGGCTTCCTCTTCTAATAAACTTTCCCTTTTTTAATATATAAAGAAGCATAGGAATGCCAGTTGAGAGTTCAAGGCTGATGACCTGAAGATAAAGGATTAACTTTAACCACATGCAGAAAACAGTTTAAGAAACAAAGCAGTACGCAGCCCATTTGCTCACCTCTTCAGAAGTCAATTTGTCCAGGTACATAATGATGTATCTCAGTGAGTTTCCATGGGCAGCAATCATCACATTTTTCCCAGACAAGAGTTGAGGTACAATCTATCATGAAATTGTTCTCAGTTGTTAGGAGCCTGAGGATGAGATACTATATACTCAATCCTAAATATGCTCACAGGACACTGTTATCAGGTAGATGTGTTAGGAGGGAAAGTTTTGTCAAGAAGATAGTTTAATTTTCTTAACTATGCAATCAAGGACTCAAAATTTATTGTACTGGAAATTTTCAGTGCCTTTATATTGCTCCGGCAAATTGACTTCCTATTTAAGGCTTCTATTAACTTGTAGGACAAAAACTATTTTTCCTCATTCATGTGAGTCATGTTAGGTGACAAGGAGCATAATTTATAACATTTTACATCTTATATGTCAAAGGTAATTAAACAAGATCAATCGCTTTAGTTAATTTTTTGAGCATTCAAGTACCATGTATGCAAGTAACAAAAAAAAAGGAATAAGATTTCCATGGATGACTGCAACTGAGAGCTGAAGACATCTTTGTTAAGAGAAAATACTACATTGGTAAAGAATAGCACCAACACCTTGAGGCCATCAAGGTCAAGAAGATAGGAACATGTCCAGCAGAACATAGCCAAGACCAGTGCATTGTCATGCATTTGCCAGTAATAGATCAAATGCATAAGTCAAGTAAAACTTACTCATGAATAGCATATCTGTCTCAAAGATATACTTTGGTCTCGATTATCTTCTCAGAAAGTTAACAAGAAAGGAATTCAATTACGAACAAACCGCATTAAGAAGATCATGATATGCCATATCAGCACCAAGATAAAAGCTTTATATCACAGGGTAAGAAATTACACTGAATTGCCTTGATTAATTCTTTTGAAATGAGTCCTAACTACATGTAGCAACAGCTGAAGATTCTAACAATGAACTTAATCATTAAATAGTCATTACTTGTTCTCTGATATAAACCACGGCTCTATTGGCACACATCTCCAAGCTCTCACCATCTGGGGGAGGAATATCATAACTACGACGCCATTTAATAACCTTCTCTTTTCCAAAGTGGGCAGCTGTTTCTTGCTTATTGAGACCTTGCAATTCACCATACCTAGAGAAAACCAATGGGAAATTACACAAATTATGTGACATATTGGTCAGAGCCTAATTCTTATACAAAATAAACATATTTACAAGTATGTGGTATCATTACATTCTTTCATTCAGTTGCCAAGCTGTTATCACAGGAATAGACTGTTCCTTGGTATCTTTGCTATATATCTGACTCCATTTCTGTGGTTGTTTTCCCTCATTGTGCATGATGATTGGAACCATAATCAATGTCGATGCGAAAGAAAAACACAAAGAAACAATTGTTCAGACTTCTTGGTAGTTTAGCATATTGCAACAGATGCTATGGATACTAAAGAAATCATTAGCATAATTAACAAGGGAAACAGATTGGAAGAAACAGAGACCTTTTTGCGGCGATGTTGGGTCATTGCAAGCATTGCAGTCATGTGGGCACGAATCAGTGACGATGTATAGATCATGTCAATTGGTATATTGCTTATTCTTTTACCAGCTGCGATTGCCTCCTCAACACCCTTTTGAGTCAATGGTACATTAGCACATCCTGTAAAGAGATATTTCTCATTCCACAAAGGCTCACCATGGATAATAAATAGCCTTAGCAGAATAAAAGAAAATTGAAGAATATGCAGCAGCACTCTAAAACTAGATTAAAATACATTCTCAATTACTCAGCTTCTCATTTTTGTTATGTGATAAACTTTTGCATAGCACTTACTTGATCTTTTCTGAGAATCACTAGAATTGCTGTTGGATGATATAGTAATTGGATCAGCAACTGAAGAATGTGAGCTCGATGCGCGAACCAAGCACAATTTCCTGCTCCCAGGGTAGTGGCTTCCTCTTGAAAGAAGTTGTATGTCCATGTCAAAGCCCTTAGATACCAATTCCAGAGAAAAGCTTCCAACTTTATCTTGCAAGCCAGTTCTAGGACTGTTCCCCTGGGCTTGGATCAATCCGAGGGCATGATGACATGCAGTTGAAGCCATACTGATGTCCTTTACACAAAATTAAGAGCATAATCTTGTCAGTTACATGATTCATTATTACAGAAAGAGGAAGACTATGAGAAAAGAACTTAGCTTGATGGTGCAATAACAAGAATCAAAGGGGTCAAGAAGTCATCTTTATGAATTAGATTTCGGAGATCTAGCTAGCAAACATACTGTAGAGAAAAACAGCAAAAAACACATTGAAAATGCCTCGTAAATGCAAAGAGGAATTCCTAACAGAGCTATCTCAGAAAAGATCATATTTTTTCCGGTTCCGCGCATTTGGAAATGCAATTTACGAAGAAGAAAGCAGAAAATAAGTTGTCATCTTATTCCGTCACACATGGAGCTCGATTTAGAGCCTCAGCAGCCGCAAGATCGCACCTAGAGTCCTCCAGAACCGAGGCGGTTCCAATGAAACCGAGGTTGAGAAAGACGACGAACGGACGGGTTTGCGCAGGAAAGAAGAGGAAAAGAAGCGAAGAAATGGCCGAGGAATCAAAGCTTCTTGGAGAAGGCGATCAAAGATGGCGTGAATATGGAAATGCAAGCTTTAGTTGTCGGCCGACGAGCGAATGGTTAGGTGACGCAGTTCTATAAGGGCGATGACATTGAAGTGGCGTCACGCAAACTTTGCGGAAGAGAGAGAAAGATAAAAGGAAACGTTGGTGTTTTTTGGTGTTCGTTTTCCTTAATGGAGAAAAAGGAAAACGTTTTCAGTCCAGCTAACAGTTGGTAGGGACGAAACAAAAAGCAAAAGCAAAGAACGAACCAAGAAACAAAAACAAAAAGGCCAAAACGGGCTTCATGGGCTTCTCCACGTGGATCTGCATCAGATGCAGAGAGTTGACCGAGTTGACCATGGTGGAGTCGCTTGTTTTGTGCTCTCATCACATGAACCGAAGAAAGATGCCTAATCACTCTACTCTCTCAAATCTAATTGGCATTTATAGCAGTCTTCTCTTAGAAACTGCTTGAGATCTTTATTTCTGATTTATCTTTATTTTGCGTGTGCTCAATATATATGAAAAATTTTATTTCCATCTCTTGTCAAACCTTAGGAATGCATCTACACCATTGCAGCTTATGATGTGATTCTTACATACTATCAAGTACATAAATTATTTATTAGTATAAAAAATAATCAATGATCTATGTCACGGAATTAATTCGATCCAATCTTTTTTAAAAAATTATCATGTATTAAGAATTGGATCAGTTCCCTCGTGATAAGTTCTTATGTCAATTTTTTTTCCGAACAATTCTCTCATAATAAGTTCCTCATGTTAATGCTTTCTTCGAACGACATTCTCAAAGCAAGTTCCTTATGTCATGGATATCATATGCAAATTTAGTTAGAGATATATCGAGTGAAACTACTCTAATGCTTAAGTAGAGACTTAGATCGAGAATAACTCCTTATCTACATACATACATATATACATACATACATATATATAATATTATGAAGATAAAAAGAATATTTTTTCAATAAACTCCTATTGATGTCATAGTTTTAGGTCACTAAATTTCAAGACTAATAGCTAAAGTCTACAATAATATATCTTTTTTTTCCTTACAGACAGCTTCAGTAGTGTTAGATGTAAATGATATGGTCAATCATGCGCTTAAAAGAATAGGGTGAGAAGGGGGGCTTTATGGTAGGAATTATGCTATGAAAGAGTTAGGTGGAGGTCCAATTGCATGCTTCCATTATCCTCCCCAGTACTCCAGCATAATGGTACCTGTTCATCCTTGAGGACTTATCAGTACTTGCCAGCTCAAAGAGCAGTCAGCAAGCATGCAATATGATGCAAGTGAAGTCACATCTGTTGCAGTGCCGCAGATGCTACCTGAGAAATCATTTATTTTCTTGTCTGGTATCATTACTAGTCTCTTGTGTCAGCATGCATGTCGCCTGCTCACATGTGATTGATGTTTTCGCTGACAGTGTGACTCAGAGATATTCCTTGAGATATTCTTCTGATGGGTGAGAAAGAACTCACTTAGGTTTAGGTCTCTCTCTCTCTCTCTCTCTCTCTCTCTCTCTCTCTCTCTGTGTGTATGGCTGGCCTTGAAGCCTTCCATTGGTGACCAAAAGAATGCAGTGTAAAGATAGATGCTGTTGTCTGCCATGAAGAGGAAGATACCAAGACAGTAGAAAAGCTTAATGCCGTCTGCATAACCTTACAGGTCTCTTGCTGATATCATAGACGACCAACACAAGCTCTACTGGGTGGCAATCTGACTCATTTCTTCTTCCTCCTCTGCTTCGGGGAAGCTGGTGACGCACTTTGAGGAAAGCCTGGTGGCGAGCGCTTGGATCTCTGGCTGGAAGTCAGAGGAAAAGGTATCAGCGTTAACCACCAATGATATGCTCACTGCCTTCTCTCTCTGCCACTGATGGGGAACAAAGTAAGAGGTCCAAAAAGGGTGGTGGTGGAGAGGACACTCTTACCGAAGCATCAAAAGTAAAACTCTTAAAGAGCTTTTGATTACTAGTTGAGGTTTTGCATCAAGATATAGACCCTTGGTATTTCTCAGCTGCTATATTATGAACAACCGTAGTGCCATATGGACAATAGTACTACTTTAGCATGAGGTGAAGTTGAAAGATGGCTTCAAGTCGTCATATACCTCAGCTTTATTCTTCATTATTCAGATTATAGGGTTTTCATGAAATCTAATAATATATTTACTTTTTGTACCTTTTATTATAACGTGGTTTGATGGGATAATTAGATCATTTATCCACTTTTGAAGCTGCTGGTGTTATAATTTTTCATACTGTTTGTTGTGGATCTAAAATTTTATATCTTATGATCACTTTCGTATCATAATGTATCTTTAGTTTTATTTATAAATATAATAATTTCTTTTCTAATTGAGTCGATCATCCTATTTAATACTATGTTAACTGAGTGATAAGGGATAATTTGGTCGGTCGACCATTGATGCAACCTGTAGGTTCGCGAGAAATTGTCAGCTTTGAGCGATGGGCGTACCTACACGGTTTTATCCTTTTCGAAGTATGTGAGTTCCAAAAGGTACATCTGAGGATAAGGAAGACCTGACGGAGAGCCATTGATTCTCATACTCCTCAACCAATGTAGGACTAAATGATCTTATCAGTATTCCCTCTCGTATGGAAGCGAAGAGCTCATGGCCAAGGTGCGCTACTCGAGAATGAGTTGCTCGATCGAGGTGCAGGCCTTGGGCTCTTTTTCTAGCGTCAATAACTAATATCTTCTGTGTCGACTCTAATAAATAATATAATTAAACTAAGCATGATATCTCCTTTATTCAAGAACTCATCAACTATAATTCATAATCAAGCTTCGTAGGATATATGTTAGGTCTTGTGCAATAATAATTCATTGATAAACATATTTGTTTCTATATCAAGGAAGAATAATAAAGAGAATCTATCCAAAAACGAATAATTGTTTATGAGCCCACGTTTTCATACATTTAGTGTGACATGATACAGTGTAATACGATAGATACAAAAACCACCTCCCGTGTGATGTGTCACCACCACTTGTTCTCTTCTAACCTTTTTCCACGAGATCCACTTACGAACCCATTGGATTCGTGGAGGCTTCTGAGAGATGGGAGACCACCACCACATGATAACCATGGACGATGATTTCCTCCCTTAGACCACACATCGGTCACGGTTTTCCCCAATTCAGTGAACAGTATCAGACATTCTTGTGGTTGATGTATAGCGTGCACTTGAAAATTGGTATAAGATTCAAGTGGAAATAAAGACATATGTTTAATGTTTTCGAATGATATTAATATCAATTGGAACGTCAATGTCACTATGCTAAATATAGGTCTTGAGTTTTACAGGTATACATATATCGAATAATAATTTATACAAATGAAATAGACAAATCATGAACCCTGTCGGAGCCCGAACGGGTGAGTCACACCCAAGAAGTGATGGGCCTTGTCCCGTCGCTCTCATCCGACTCAGCCAGGGTCCCGCAGCAATGATTCGTGGGACGGCAAGGGACCCACGGACTTGACGTTACGTAGAAAGGCTGACCGCCGGATGCTCATCGGACGGCTTGGTGGCGATTACTCGATTTCTCGTCGATTGAAACAGGTGACCGATTATTGGACTAAAATAACACCGATAAATTAAAATAATTTTGAGAAAATTTTAATACAGAGACTGACGTACATGTATTAGTTTATGAGTTAAGATTTCATTTTAAAAAAGAGTTATCGTGGTTTCCTCACGTATAAAATAACTTATACATTTAAAAAAATATAGTATATAAGCTATTATCGTCAAGTGTAAGTTAATAGATATTAGAGTATGATTACGTAGTATATCGATTCACAATAAATCATTAATATGATGACACGTATAATTTATGGTTAAGGTCTAATTTAGCCCTATTGGGTTTGAACATGAATTTCTTAAATCTTTATAGTTTACTCGTGTCTAAAATAATCTATGTATTTTCAAAAACATAACATATAAGCTCATTCCGTCACTCTGAGTTAATAGATATTAGAATCTACTTACATAGCATAGCATGTTGACCTATAATAAATCAATAATATAATGATACATACAATTTAATTATTATTTTTTAATTGAGAACTCCATTAATGGTGGGAGGAGGCATCATCATGAAAACGACCAGCGGCAGCAGCACCGAGCCACTATTGCCTAGCAGGGCATCATACGAATGTAGTCTCTCATATGTTGACAATGAGCTCAGGAGTTTCCGGTCCTACATTAGGTGAACACACGTCGACCAGTCTGACGCTAGGAACGTAGAGGTTTCTTAGTTCCTTTTCCTCCTCCTAAGCATATTCGTCCCCACCGCCTTCCAATTCATTCTCTTATGCACCCTCACATATCATGCTTATGATGTAGTGGTCCAGCTCTCCCTTAGCTCAATGGAGTTGGATCTATTGAATGTCACTCGCTAACTCTACCACGCATGCCACCAAGTTGTCCTCCACAATGCTACTTGCCACCACGAACGGTACTCACTTTGGTCCCAATGAGTACCACTATACCTTATAAGCCACCTCTCCCACGAAGCACTACATCACGAAAATGGAGAACAAGCAGAAAGAGCGATTAAGGTAGTCCATGTAGCCCTCTCACACCAGCTTGCTCTCCTCGACTAGCTTGTCGATGAAGAGGAAGCGACGGACGCCGTAGCAACGAACAAAGGCAAAGAGGTAGAGATAGGAGAGGTCGGAGGTGAAGGTGAGGAAGAGTTAAACCACAACATCATAGGTGCGACGAGTGGGGTCCCAAGCGAGGATGAAACGGGAGGCAGTGGGGACGAAGATGCTTAAGAGGAGGAAGAGGGACCAAAAGACCACTACGTGCCTAACGTTGAACTAGTCGACGTACATCCACCTAAGATAGGACCGGAAGCTCATGAACTTATCGTCAATACGAGAGAGGCTATGTGCATATGATGCCCTGCTAGGTAACAACGGTTCGGTGCTACTGCTAGTGGTCTCTTTCAGATGCATTCTCTTACCATTAATGAAGATCTCAATTTTTTTAAATGTAAATTATATATATCATTATATTAATAGTTTATTATAAGTCAACATGTTATGTAAGCATACTTCAACGTATGTTAACTTAGACTTAACGAGAGAGATTTATATATTATATTTTTAAAAATATAATGATTATTTTAGACATAAATAAATCATAAAGACTTAAAAAATTTATGACTAAAACTATAAGGATTTAAATAATTTTTTAATTATAAAATTATATATATCATTATATTAATAGTTTATTATGAATCAGCATATCGTAAATTATAATATTTGAAAAAACTTATATATTATATTTTTAAAATATAAATATTATTTTATATATGAGTATTAATGAACATAAATAAATAAAGAAAATAAATTGTATAATAATGGAGGGGTGAAGTTGTTGCATGATTGGAACCGACGGTCCAAATCTGTCTTCGACTCTTTTTATCTTCTCCTCTCCTCTTCCTTCCCAAACACCCTATCGTCTCTCTCTGCTCTCTCGTCGGTCTCCTCTTCTCCCTCTCTTCGCTGACGGCACCCTATTCCCGCTACATACATCTCCTCCTCCTCCTCCTCCTCCTCCTCTTCTGCTTCGCCGGGGGGAGAGAGACACAGAGAGGAACTGAGGAGGAGGAGCAAGCGAGATGGTGCTGAGGAAGCGGCCGCGGCCTCCGATGAGGCGGACCACCAGCATGGCCGAGTTCGCCCCCAACGTTGTCCTCCCAAACGATAAGGCCTCGCAGCCCTCGTCCGACCATAGGAAGGCCAGCGACGTTCTCCACCACCAGAGGGAGCCGCAGGGGGCGGCGGAGTTGCCCGCGCAGAGGAGGGACGCCGGCCCTGCGGATTGGCTGGAGGCGAGGTACCAGTGGGTCCTGGATGCGTCGCCGTGTGGCGGCCGGAGCCGGAGGAACTCCGGAGACTTTGCGGTGGTGGAGACGGCGCCCTTCCTCAGGGCCTGCGGCCTCTGCAAGCGCCGCCTTGGGCCCGGCCGGGACACGTTCATGTACAGGTGCCACTCCAGCTTCATCGATTTCCACATGCAAAGTCTCATCTTTCGTTGATTCTTAGATTTTCTCCTCAAAAATTCGATTTTTTTTGTTACTGTTCGTTGATGTTTCTCGGTGAGCAGTTCTATTGCTGTGGATCGTGCTTATCATCTTAGAGATTCGATCTTTTTCTTTCTCTTTATTGATTCTGATGCGGCTGATCATGATGTCCAAGTGCATGCATATCCTCTGATCCAATCAAAGCCTTTCTCTTCTTCCATGAGAGAGATACAGAGTTTTCTGTACACTCCGATCCCGTTATGATATAAACAGCATGTTTTGCATCGTTCGATGTATTCTTACAAGTTATATGACTGGATTTTTCGCAGGGGAGATATTGCATTCTGCAGCCACGAGTGCAGACAGCAGCAGATGAAACAGGATGAACGCAAGGAGAAGTGCTCTCTGACTTCCATCAAGGACGCTGCTACTGCAACCAATGGCTCCGAACAAGCTGGTAAGGGCGAGACGGTCGCTGCTGCATGAGCTCTGCCGTTCCTCAAAGCCTCTCCATCATGTAAATGCCACAAGGCAAAGCTCATGATAGATGTAGTTGGGCTTTAATGGTTTCCTGCCTCAATGCAGCAGCAGCAGCTGCTGCTGCTGCTACTGCTACTGCTACTGCAAGGAAATGTAATGTAAAAGCATGTTGCTAATTTGATTCCCAACATCGTCTCTCTGGTTCTTATGAGAAGCAATGAAGGTCTTTATATCTTCTGGTTCTCTCTCTCTCTCTCTCTCTCTCTTGGTGTTCAGATTCAGTGAAACTGGGAGCAAACCATGTGTTCTACTTGCAGGATCTGCAGTGCCATGCATCAAACTTCACTGGATTGTATAGAGATCATGGTCAGCTGCAGGCACTTTCAGGAGCTCAACGCAGGCACAGAGAACTCATGCAGCTGAGTGAATGAATCATCACCATGAAACTCGACTGCCATCATGAGATCACTATGACATGCCGTAGCTCTTATCCGCGAAAATTTTGCTGCAGAAAACCATTTTGACGAAGAAATGTAGAGAGAGAGAGAGAGAGAGAGAGAGAGGTTCTTACATCCTGTGTCATCTTGCGTGGAGTGGGTCCCATCCTGGTGTCCTTTGGGGCCCACGGTCCCCAACTTTAGCGCCGCCCACTGACTCGACTGGCTCAGCATCGTTCACGTGGCCACCTCTCTCTCTCTCTCATATTTGCTGAGTGAAGTAGAGAACACAGACAAAACTTTGTTTACATCAATATCGTCGTCGTCCTTGTCAGCCGTGACGTCGCTGAGCACCGAGGGGCAAAAAAGATGTGCTGCTTACTTCAACCCTAAGCTCGCTTTTCCAAAGAGATTTACACTCGGCACTCACTGCAATCATCTTTTTGAAGCTCCAGTTGTATCGGATAGTGCGACGATAAGCTGCAATCGCCAAAAGCCACCAACTCATTTCATATCTATCTCATCTTTGTTACCTATTGATAATTATGTTCATGGTGAGAGCACCGAGTGAACGAGTTCCTTGTTATGGTGCTGTTGTTCCAAAGTGAAGTGACATCTAGCTAAGCAAAGATGCAGATTCGAGCTACAAAAATATAATTAAGATGACAACCGGCTCAAACAAGAAACTCGATGGAGTTCACAGAACAATGGGGTGCTTCCAGGAATGCAAAGTAGCCTTCTCTTCTTGTCTACTGACCTACACTGAAAACATACTCTGCACTTAAATAAGTGGGACAGGTTTAAGCTACATGACCTAAGATATTGTGGAATCCGAGAAATATTGAGTGTAAGATATCCAATAGCTTTCACAGAGAAAGTTGTCCTGGATCAGGAAGCCATGCCGTTCCTCTTACTAACTTAATCTTCATTAGACTTCTTAATTAAGCTTGTCCACTAGTTAAAAACTATAGCTTTGTGGTTGGCTTACATGACTAAGACTTCTTTCTTGGGGTGATAATGTATAGTTTTGCTGCAACTCTCACTTCAAAGTCAAGTAAGATAAGTTCTTACTACCACTAGTAAAGAGATTAAGACCATGATGAGTTCCTTGCTCATAGATTGTACTGAGCATTTCAAGGACTGCAATATAAATCTTGCTCTAATGAAGCTTTTAAAGGGCAGCAACAAACCCTTGCCGAGTAGCAGGAGAAACGTAGATGTCACATTAAGGTAATCTCAGGGAGACAAACTGTACTTGTGTGGTCCATCAGCTAATCATGGTGGGTGCCCAAATAGCATCAGCTGTGTGTTCTTACTGTGGTCCGGATAGAGGAGATAGTGAGAGGAAATAGACTGATGACCAACCAAAACCAACCGGAGAAAAGAGGCTGCAGGATTGATGCATGACACTGCCATGCCACTAAAGCTCATGTGGTGGCAGGCTTCCATGGTCGACAGTGCAAGTCAGTTTGTGGAGATTGGTAAGCTGAGAAGTCTCAACTGATCAATCTACATGGTCGATGCAACTCAAAGCCACAGCTTCCTTTTCTTACCTTGTACTGCTAAACTCCTGGTGGCAAGCTCCGGGAGTTGTGAGCTGCGCAAAGCCAGAGGTCCTCAGCGAAGAGCAGACATGATGCACTGTCCCAGAGCAACATGTTGTTTGTTAATGGTTGACGCAGATGGTGCCCGGTGGTGATGGTGATTCCCACATGATTACTAAAACAATCTTAGTAGTTGACATATGGAGATCCCACTGGGGTGATAAAAGACTGATCTATGTCTCAAGATTGCAACAACAGTGGATTTCAAGCTCAGCTAGAAAGATAATAAATATCATAAGCTGTTTATGGGTCTCTTGATGGTGTAATCTCCCTGTAACCTTCCATTATACAAACACACTTGCATTAAATTACTTCATATTCTACTAAACTGTTGAATTTTCATGCAAAATTAATGCAATCATTTTAGAGACTCAATGTGATAGAAAGGGTACTTGATGCAAAAGGTGCATACATTTGCCAGCTTGATTCACATCTATTAGGGTGCAATTAGGCACATTAAATAAGAAGATTAGCACATGGTGGCATGGGGTTTGCAGGTAAGCAAAGTACAAGTGATCTGAAAAAGAAGACATCTTTTGAAGGGTGGTTGACTTAGGAGACAAAATTTGACGAACATATAATTTTTAGTAGGTGCAAATGGAAACAGCGACATCAAATTTTCAGCTATTGGATTGAGAGTAATGTTATAAATTGAAGTGTGTGAGGTATATATTTGCATCAGCTGAGTGCTACATGTGAAAACCTAAAATAGCATAAAATTATATTAATTCCAAAAAGAAAAGGAAAACTTATATTTTTTATCATTCATGTAAAATAATAATTCGTTATTAATCTTAAGTAAAATGAAATTAGGGAAAAAAAATCCGACCTGCCGGATTCGAACCAGCGACCTAAGGATTTAACTGTGCGAATACCCACTACAGTCCTCCGCTCTACCAACTGAGCTAAGGTCGGTATGCATAACGGTGGTGGCAAAGTTTCATTATATTAATGTTTCAACCTCCTGCATATCGCCATTATAATCTACACCAACTCTATCGACATCCCTCTTCATCTCTTATGGCCTCAGCTGCAGCACAGAAAAGCTAATACAATACCTTTCTCTTTCCTTCAGTCATCCTACTACACCTCGTGGGAGCGGCTCGTCACTGCATCAGCAACAGTGAAGAAGATCGTGTCAGCTCAGTGAACTGAGACGCCTCCAGCTTTTCAATCGCCACCGGACCGGGGTTGGCAAGAATAAGCTGCATGACTGTCAACCTGTGAGTCTACAGATTTGTTTGATCTCCTATCTGATTCTTATAAATGGTTGTGTTGTTGCTGAAGCGTAGAAAATTCTTCTCTTCTGCAGACCTTTGTGCATGTCTTCCGGGGCATGGATGCCACCGGTGTCGATGTTGATGACAGCTGAAAGAGTGAAAGATGTTACTGGTTCTTCTGCAACAGATGAAACAATCACTATGAACTGAGGATTCAATCGCGGTCCTATCGACGATCAACAGATCGATTCGGGGTTTTCCCTTAGCTTCCTCTTTCTCTTCTTCATCAGCGAACCATCTCAGTATTCTGCCGATGCAATGTCATACTGTTAGCATGCCATCAGCTTGAATTCTCTTTTGGTCATCATACTCGTAATTAGGAGATACCTCTTCCTGACATAGTTGGAGTTCGAGAAGTAGATAGCAGAGTCAACTCTGACAATGATGATTCCTGGAACTATTGTTGCCTCTGGGTTTTACTCAATGTTCCTGTACAATGTAGTACCTGGAAGATTTCCTACCATTGCTCTCCTGGGTCTCGTAGCTTGGTGGAGGATCTTAGCAAAGGATATGCAGACCTAAGAATCATTGAGAAAGATCATTAGGATCCAAAGAGAAGTTGAATGCATAAGCATCAGCTTTTTGTCTTAAAGCAATCAAGAGGCCAATTTCAACAGATACAAACATTACACCAAGGAGGGCTCCATTCAGGCAACAAAATCTAGCTTATCAATCTTCCAGATCAGAAGTGCTGCTTGGTAGTCAACAAGGCCAATGACAGCAGAGATGATGATGGAGGCAAGGATTGCACTTGGAGTGTATTTGAAGACGGGTGTGATGAGTAGCAAGGTCAGGAACACCATTGCCGACATGACCATGTTTGGCAGCCAGCCATGTAATCGACAGCTGATCTTGAGAATGAACCTGAAGAAAGAAGACACAGAGAAGTAAGAAAATTATAGAGCTCAAAGCTCAATATCTACTTAGAAGAGGATTGCCTTTGTTACCTGTTGCAACATAGCATGAGGTCATTGAGGAAACAACATTCATGGATCCAAGTGCCACCATTTCCTTGTTTCCATCCGACTGGTAGTCCTTCAAAGCAGCAAAGTTCTTCCTATGGCCGCAGCTTCCTGGTGAATTGTTACTTCAGTTTCTTGCAAGGAAACTGGATGCTGCAACCACAGAAGGAGTTAGTGTTTGTATGTTGTTACCGTAAGCGCGATCATGCCGCAGATAATTCCGATTCTGAAACCTTTCTCAGCATTCGGACCTGCGAAATATATTCGACTTAAGGATGATGGATTGATGCCCTTTTTGATGTGATTCACCTTTCATACATCAAACACCCAAGAATTTAGTCTCTCTGAACTTATGATGCAGTGGGAGTGCATGCATTTGGATAGAGCCAACCACTTACAATTTGTACACCTTGGTTTCCTGCATGAGTAATGTAGACCAAGAAGGTGGCCAGGATGACATAGATCAGTGGGGCAATGGCAGGCACCCAGAACAAGCTCTTCTTCTTCTTCCCCTGATTGGGATCTCACTATGTACTTATCAGGGAGGAGGAATGCCAGGAAAGCTGTTCCAATGAGAATTGTCTGCCAGTTCCACTGCATTCGATTCGAGTGGATATGTAGACAAAATAAGCTAACAAGAGAGTAATTAAATGGCAATTATTCATTCTGCTCGAGAAAACAATGAAGGCTGGCGTTGACATTGATGCATGATTGGTGGATACTTCCCAAGAGAGAGCATGTCGAAGACCCAACCCTTGTCTATTTCTTTAAGGTGAAAGAGAAGCTTTGACTAACTACTAGAGTTATTAATACGTATTATGCTATAATATAAAGTGATCTTTGAAGTGACCTAATTCTTTGAAACAGTCTCTTTTAAGTTCTGAAGTCGCATTATTTGTATGCTAAATACTGTTCATCTAACCGATGCAGAAGAATACAAACTGCGTCGAACAATACATTTAATTGATACAGAAAGATGAACAACTTCATTAGCCATGTCTGGCCATTACATGAAGTAGCCAAGATCATCAAATTATGGGATCCAACTTCTGCATCCTCCATGAACACCTCTCTTGGCCTCTGTACTTCAAGCACAGAGATTGTTTTGCTACAACGGGGTTCCTAAATAAATTCCTTGCTCACCTGCCCAATAGTGCTACGTGTGTTATAATGTGTCGATCTCGAGTCACCTCGACGTATGGGATTCGGTACGGACTTACGTGCACCGGAGCAGCATTGCCGTCGTACGTGTTGTTGGAGGCGCCGCCGTCGTCCATGGGTAGGTGCGAGCAGGCCGCCGTCGCCTCCACCTGCTCCTGCGGCACCAGCGTGGGCAGCTCCGTCGGCGCCATGGGGTGCTGCATGCCACACCGTCAAACACACGGCCTGAGTTCCGCGCGGGCGGGACGAGTACAAGCGAGCCGACCGGCAAATTTCCTACCTGAATCAGAGGGTAGGGCGGCGACGGGATGAGGGCGGAGAGGAGCTCCGTGGAGGTGTACGCCTGGTGCCACGACACCTCGTGCTGGCCGCTGACGTGGCATCCAGCGGTGCAGGGGTCCACCGGCAGGCCCATCCCCTGCGGGGCCATCGACTCGTAGATCCCGTGTTCCCTGCCACATCAACGCATCAATCTACGCCGTCGATTCTCGCGAGAGCTGATCATCGATCGTGATCGACGCGGTGCGGCATCCGTACCTGAGGTCCATCAAGGGATCAGAGCCGACGAAGATCTGGTGGCCGGAGTTGGTCGCCCCCTCTGGGACCCACTGCACCATCTCGCTACCGTATGGGTCGGGCAGCCGCTCCTGTTGCGGTTGCAGGTACATCTGAAGAAGAAGAAGAAGAAGAAGAAGAAGAAGAGAAGCATGAGAAGGCATATCTACGGTTGCCAGTAATAATGTTTAGATAGCTTTCGATTACCTGCATGCTTGACGCTGAGGGATCGTAAGAAGACAGATGGTGACTCAGCAAATATTCCTGCAATCGAAACTAGAAGTGATCAAAGTTGAAGGGTTTCTATTGTACCACGCAAACAAATTAACGCTGCCTCTGGACTGACCTTTCTTGCCGTAACGCGCTGCAGGGCTTCCATGACGAACTTCTCGCATGACTCGAGATCCCTCATGGACGTGAAGCTGAGATGATCAGGTTCGAAAAATCTATTCGAGCAGACAAAAGAAAAGAAAATGTTTAGGATTTCGATAACAAAGAGGGTCCTCTGTCGCTGCCATAGTTTGGGGTTGTAGAGAACCTTAAGCGTTGTTCCGAAAGCTGTAGCTGTTGCTGATACCGACCGATCTCTTGTTGAAGCTCCTATAAATATGAGATGAAATCACGTGGAATGGAGAACACGAGAGAGAGAGAGAGAGAGAGAGAGAGAGAGAATACAAGGTCGTTTACCTCCACGTTGGAGTTGACCACTGTAGGGCTGATTGAAAGCATCGTTTGAGAGGGATCAAAGACATTAGAACTGGAAACAAGTGAAAGAAAACTAAAGATCTGACACGAGAATTCAATGGTTTGGAAGGGTTACACACTTGGCCAGGGCCGCCATGTCGTTCTCGCACTTGAGCTTCTTCAGCGCCCTGATCAAGAACTGCTGCATGGTAGGTTATCATTTACATACATGCTAACTATTATGATTGAGAGAAGCTGATAGTTCACGAAATATGGGAGATTTACTTACCTCTCGATTCTGGATCACCCTGCATATCAAAACAAACAAAGAATTACGATCATTATAATTCATGTAAATCATAATATCTCTTGAAACCTTACCCTCCCCTATCATTCTCTGGGAGATTCACATATCTAGCAAGAACATCCTCGATCCTGAATTCTCACAATAAATCAAATGATTAAGCCCAGTAAGATATAATCAATAAAGAGAGAAAATTTGTCGACCTTCTCCTTCCAGAGAAATGGCTGAGCCGTCCTGAGGGAGAGAACATGATGAGGGCGATGTCGATGTCGCAGAGGATGGAGAGCTCGTAGGCCTTCTTGATGAGGCCATTGCGACGCTTTGAGAAGGTCACTTGCCGATTGGTGTTGTTCTCTATCCTCTTTATCTGCAGCTTAACTCGTCCCATGATCCAAGATAAGCAAGCAGATACAGGACGATGCAAGGAGTCTCTAAAAAGAACAGTGGGAGGGAGCAAGAGATGTAAACAGCTTGAGAGAGAGAGAGAGAGAGAGAGGAGGGGATGGCTTTGCGTGGGATGTGGAGAGAAGGCGAAGGAGAGAGATTTTAGAAGCTCGTATGCCGGGAAGCAATTCCGCTTCGACAACAACGGCTGGCTTCAAACCGAGCAGTGCGTTGTCTACCCGTTCGAGCGAACCCGTCTTTAACGCCAGGTAGTTCGAGTCTTTGATGGCCCGAACAGGTCCCGAATCAACGTTCAATAAAAAAGCCGGTAACTGTTACGGGTAAGCCTGAATGGTAGAAACTACCGTTTACGAGTTACCCAGCCAAGCGACATAATTTGCTGTGCACAGATGTTGAGGCGTACGGATATAGCTGTCATGTTAACAAGGCCGGTCCAAATAAGGCCCACAGTAGCTATTGGTAGGCCACGGCAAAGCCCGCTCTCTAAAAGGCCCCCACCCCACCCCCCCACCCCCCGCCCGACTCGTTCCCGTTCTTACCCTAAACGCCTCCTCTTCCTCTTCCTCCTGCTCCGCATTCCTCGCCCGCCCGCTCAGCCGAATCCTCCGCTGGCCGTCTCTGCCATTTCCTTCCTTCTTCCCTGTGGCCCCACTAGCGCGGCTGAGTTTCGCGCAGCTGTTCTTTCCGTCACACACCTTGGTCTGCTGTCACCACCGACCCTCAAGTCGACGCTGTTCTTGGATTCTTCTGGGCTTTCTACATTTCATCTCCATACACGTAGGTTCCTTTTGATCCCTGTGTTGTTAGTATCTGTGAAGTCATACCACAACCACACTATAGTAATTTACTTATAATGACCAATTTGTCATGTTTTTTAGTTCATATGCGATTTCTTGTTGACTACATCATTCTAGTTGTTACTTTGTGAACTTATTGTACTTTAGGCTGAGGTAAATTTGATATTTTTTCCTAAAAAGGATAAAAAGAATTAGAAGTTGGTATATGTTTTTTTTTGCAATGCAGTTCTCTAATTTTTTCTCCATGTTAATCAAGAGATGACAATTATGTGTTTCCACAATGTCAAAGCGAGCTCCTGAAAGCCCTTCAAGTCCTACTCTAATATTTAGCTGAATTCAACAACGCTTGAGTAAATATGTTACAATGTTTTGTGGTGCTAATTTTAATCATGTAGTTCTTGTTTCCTATAAACAGAGCTACTATGACAAGCAAAGGTGCAAATGGATTTTCCTGGCTCTTAATTGAGCATAAAATCTGAAATATACATGTGCGAAAGTTATTGTGCAGAGTTCTTGCATCAGCATTATGAGAACCTCTGCTGCAGCTTGCTTGTAAGTTCTCTCCCTGGAAAGCTATTGTAGTTGTTAACTTTCAGCAAAATTTATTGTTGTAGATGTTTATGGTAATAATATTTGACAGTTAACAAGTATGACAAAGCTTGTAGTTCACTTACCAGAATTGTTAGATTTGGACTGCAACATGTTGTTGCCTGGTTACTTCATATGTTAATTTTATATTATTTTGTGTTGTATCAGAATACAATTTCAGTTGGGAAGCATGCATCATATAATCTTCAACCTTTTTTCATTCTTGCCTTCAGGTTCAGTGGTTCTGTGACTATTAAGGATTGTTGGGGTTTTATGCTTCCTGGCAGTCATGTTGCTGCAGAGGCTAGGTATGCTTCTGCAGCAATGCTCTCAAAAGAAAGCCTTCAGACATGGCATTGCTCTCCATGCTTCAGTCATCAAGACAGGCATGGATTCTGACCTCGTACTCTCAAACCATCTGATCAACCTGTATGCCAAATGCAAAGATTTTGAATCTTCACATCAGATATTTGATCACATGTCAAATAGAAACATCGTATCATGGTCAGCTATGATTTCTGGCTACGATCAGGCCGGAAAGCCTTCCATGGCACTGGATCTGTTTGCCAAAATGCCATTACAGCCTAATGAATACATCTATGGCAGTGTCATAAGTGCATGTGCGACCCTTTTTGCCCTGACACAAGGTAGCCAGATTCATGGCCATTCACTTAAAAATGGGTATGATCAGATTTCTTATGTCTCCAACTCTTTGATGTCAATGTACATTAAATGTGATTGCTTTGATGATGCCTTATGCATCTTTAGCAGCATCTCAGAACCAAATTCTGTCTCTTATAATGTTATGATCACAGGATTTGCTGAGAATTTAAAGCTCAGTAAAGGTTTGGAGCTATTCAGACTCATGAACAAGCAAGGTTTAGATCCAGATGAGTTTTCTTACATGGCTTTAATAGGAATATGCTCTAGCGTGGAGGATTTGCATGTAGGAATTGGATTGCATTGCCAAACAGTCAAGCTTGGCCTTGACACTACAGTTTTTGTTGGGAATGTTATATTGATGATGTACTCAACATGTGGTTTATTTGAAGAGGTTGAGAAGGCTTTTATGTTGATCAAAGAGAAGGATGTCATAACATGCAACACTTTCATAGTTGCATGTTCCAATTGTGGGGAACATACTAAAGGTTTGATGGTCTACAAAGACATGACAGCAACAAAAAATAATTTCTCTTTGAGCCCTGATGAGTTCACCACAGCTAGTGCTTTGGCTGTTTCTGCAGAACTTGCTTCATTTCACCATGGTGGTCAAATTCATGCTCATCTAATAAGAACTAGGATGGTCTTAGACATTGCAGTCTATAATGCTATCATTAACATGTATGCTAAGTGTGGTTGTAGCAAATATGCTAGTCATGTGTTTAATCTCATGCCAAACAGGAATCTGATCTCCTATAACACAATGATTGCTGCGCATGGCAATCATGGCCATGCAACAGCTGCTTTGGAAATTTTCAAGCGAATGAGATATGAAGGTTTTGTTGCTGATTCTGTCACATTTGTTGGTCTCTTAACAGCTTGCAGCCATGCGGGCTTAGTTGATGAAGGTTTAGCATTATTTAATTCGATGCAAGAAACTTATGGAATATGTCCCATGATCGAGCACTTATCTTGTTTGATTGATATGTTGGGTCGATCTGGGAGATTAGAGGAGGCTGAATGCTATGTTAAAGCATCTGCTTTTCAAAATGACTCCGTGATATGGGGCAACTTGCTTTCATCATGCCGTCTTCATAAAAATGTTGTTGTTGGCGAACGGGCTGCTATTAAACTTTTGGAGCTTCAACCTGGCACCAGTTCACCTTATGTGCTCTTATCAAATTTATATGCATCAGATGGAAGATGGGAGGATGTTGCTGCAGCAAGGAAAATGTTGAAATGTACTGGGGTGAAGAAAGAGCCTGGTCATAGCTTCATAGAAGTAAAAGGAATCGCTGAAAAGTTCACAGTTGGAGATTTTTCACATGCACAAATTGAAGAAATCATTGTGACATTGGAGAGCTTAAATTGGATGACAAAAAAGCTGTATATGTCAGCTCTGTTTGACTAGTCTATTTCTATAATGACCAGATGTATCAGGTGCTACGGTAAGTTTATAAACCTTTCTTGTGCTTGAACCTCTCGATTCTTCTAATGAAAGTAAAGCCATGCTGTTTGGTAATTTATCAGGGGTTTGAGCTTAGGAGTTGGATCCATTCTTGTGTCATTGAAGGGAATTGGAGCAATATGTTAGTTGATAACATGTATATGCTCTCGTGCAGAGTGCAGTGGTCTTTCTTGGTGTATCAATGTTATTACTAGACTACCATGATCATGCTCGTGTCCGCCGTCAGCATAGGACATGAAACATTGTCGATGTTTCTGGAGATGCAGAACCTGGGGTTTTCACTGAAGGAGTTCACTGTTAGCAGCGTCCTCGAGGCTTGATGAGAACTGAAGGAATTGGGGCTTGGGAAGCGACTGCATGGTGTTATTGTGTAGAGGAAGTTCAAAGAAGAAGACCATATCAATTCTCTGGTTAATATGTTTGAGAGGTCTGGTAAACCTATGAATGCTAGAACAGTCTTTGATCTGATTTCAGAAACATGATCACATGGACTTTTGTGATATCAGATTACTCGTGATGTGTTCTTGGAGGTGTGGCCATTCTGTTTCCATGGAGCTGAAGTGACAAGGGAATTGATGCTTTTATGGATTCATTGAGCCACTTATGGTTGCTCTCTGCTAAAAGTAAATCTTTGCCTAGGTATTCTCTGCGGGAAAGCTTAGAGCATATATGTGGCCTATTGTCGACATCAAGAACCTCCACTATGGGGGCTTGTTCTAGACAAAAGTGCAAACAACTTGAAGCATGGGCTATCGAGGAGCATCTTGTTCTCGTGGAATCAATGTGGCCTTGCTATTGCAGAACTACAACCTTTTGAAGACAGCACATCTCAGTTAGCTGAGTTTGCAAGCAACAGAGCCCCACACAGCCTTGTTTGTGTTCGTGTGGAGAAGCATGGTGTTCCTGGATTGCTGATGATTCTTCCTAATAATTCTTGCAACAGAGTTAAACCTGAGATGTTCTTTTGGATCAGGAATTGACTGTTTGTTGTCTCTCCTATGTTGTGCCCTAAATCTGAAATCGACAATAATTTGATTGATGAATGGGATTATGCCAGGGCTGGAATCTAGTGCTTGTTCTTAATGGCATAGCTTGTCTTAATCGTATATCTTGATCTCTTTTTCCACTTGGTGTACCCATATGAGATCTCGCTGAGAAGACCACCTATCTAAACCAGTGTCATCAGGTCAATCACCATGGCAAACATTATACCTCTGTGTGAGGCTTTAACAGGATGCAATGGTTTGTACTGATGAAAAGGTGAAAATTTCAAACATTATTGTTCCTGTTGCAGTAATATTCTAATTCTTATCTAGAAAAAATAAGTTGCATTGCTAACATTTTAGGTAACAATTTAATTGGGATTTAAAATTTTCTTCTAGGAAATGAAGTTGACTTCATCGTAACATCTTCATTCTAAATCTACACCGACGGGAGCTGCCAGTGCCAGCTTCCGGAACACACCATATGCCATGGTCGACAAGGAGCAGGTCATTCAAAACCGGAGAGGACGACTCGGAGAATCCAATTCCCATGCTGTGGTGGCTGTCAGCCACGCATGGTGCTTTCATTAGTGGCCTAATTAAGCATCCCAAAGATACTAATCCTTTTTCTCTCTGTCCCTCCTATTTCTGCCGTAAGATTATCCAATCACTCCTCTCGGCTTCTCGCTGCTTGACGATGAGCAGGGCAGCGTCAAGCTGGTTCTAGAACCGTGGAACACCGGGTCCGCTTTGCTCACTTGCTCGGAGTCCCTTCTCCAGGTACTTCTGTGCTTCGTTTTCAGTTCTTATATCGCTAGATTCCCCATATGCCACCAAAAAATCCAGTCTTTTGTTCGGATTGAGGGTTCTCGGTTCAGGATCGACTGGTTTTTGGCTTTATCGCCGGCTAAATTTAACGTTTCTGGATTCATAATCCTGGTAAAAATCGTTTCTTTTTTTCTCTGGGGTTCGACCTTTTCTCCTTTTATTTTTTTGTGAGAAGAGGCAAAAAAACTAGTGGTAAATATGTGTCTTTATACTTTCCATTTTTATTCGGAATCGAATTATTAGACGTTTCTACTGGATTTGAATTTTTTTTTATTTAGTTATTTTTTTCCTCTCTTTATGTTTTTGAGAAATCGAAAAACTGTGGCTTTCTTTTTGCTAAAAAGGGGCTAAAATTCACAATTCTCTATTTTCCTCTCTCTCCGTCTCTTCTGTCTTTGTTCTTTGTTCCATTTTGCCCGTGAGGATGTAGTTGATGGATTTGTCCCTTTTATTGGATCTGACGGCCACTGTTTCATCTCCCACCTCCTCGCCCCTCCCAGGCCGATCCCAGGCGGCGAATCATGGCCGTCCATGAAGCCCAGACGACAGTGCCGCCGCCCCCGCTCCTCCTCCTCCTCCCGCTAACGTGCCCCAGCCAGGCCCTGTTGCGGGGAATGCCCGCCGTCGCTCACCTTCAGGTCCCGGTAATGGTTTCGTTCCTCCATTAGAGTCATCCCCCTCAATTACCTCTCGTTTATCCTGTCAATTCATCATCCACACACACAAAATCCCATCTTTGCTGCCCCGTTGCGGAACCGTGAGCGGTTTGCAGCGCCGTCAACTTCGTCCGGCACAATCGTCGGCTTTTACTATATTCCTCGTTCCTTCCAAAATTCCACGCCTTCAGCCGATTTGTGCTTGTGGCACGTGCCGATTTGTCCCCGGCGTGGCTGTGGAGTAGCCTTCGGAAAGAGAAGAAGACGCTCAAAGATGGCCGGCCATTGATGTAGGGCCCCGCATGCCTTTTGTGCGCTGGGACCCGCACAACTATCATGCAGTTGTTGGGTAGAGACCAAACACAAACCGCATCGCTTTATACCCATACATCAAAAGCTTAGCACAACGTTCTAGTTCTTCCCCACCGAGAAAGACTTGACATGTAGGAAGCACAACGTTCTCCCATACATCAAAAGCTTAGCATGGGTGATTTCTATGGCTTGCTTTGAGCATGTAAGTAACTATACTGCGGTGACAAGTTCTTTTCCTATCTTACTATCATCATCTATCTCATAGAAATCATAGTATTGTTATCCATGCTCTACCTACTGGCAAAATTTACCTTTGTACGTTGCTTGTCATTACTTATAATTTTTCTATACCTTACTGTTCTGATACAGAAGTTGCATTTAAAATAGATTCAAACTGTAGGGTGAAAATTAAATCAAATTATCAGAATTTAGAGTATTGATCACCTTTCCATTAGAATGGGATAATTTAGGGATTGAAACATTCCTTAACCAGTATCAGGTTCCACAGGCAGTGCAGAGTGTAGGTCCTCAATGTGATGTAAAGCTTTTATCTTTTGATGATAGTATTGGGGAATTTGAGATTGCTTAAAATTTACCTTTGTACGTTGCTTGTCATTACTTATAATTTTTCTATACCTTACTGTTCTGATACAGAAGTTGCATTTAAAATAGATTCAAACTGTAGGGTGAAAATTAAATCAAATTATCAGAATTTAGAGTATTGATCACCTTTCCAATAGAACGGGATAAGTTAGGGATTGAAACATTCCTTAACCAGTATCAGGTTCCACGGGCAGTGCAGAGTGTAGGTCCTCAAATGTGATGTAAAGCTTTTTTCTTTTGATGATAGTATTGGGGAATTTGAGATTGCTTAAAAATGTTTGATGACCATATTAAGTGAATTTTTTGATGTGTCAACGTTGACAGTGTTCAGTCTGAAATTAGTTAGACTTAGGGTAACTTGGATCATTCTTATTAGCTGATATTGGAAGTGTTTTCAATTATGCTGCTTGGATAGAACCATGCACTCGTAATTCCATTTGCTTAATAGATTGTAACACTCAGTTGAATGACTTCTTATTCTCACTCTGATTCTTTCTTCTTCAGGACCTAATCCATAACATGCCTGACATCCAACCAGAGAAGAGGGTGCCTGTTGATGCTGACGAAGAAGATGGTGATCCAGACGGAAATGGAGATGAAGATGGGGGGTCTGGTGTAGGTGAAGAGGGGTCCTCGGACAAAGATAGCGAGGGGCATGGGAACCCCGATGATGCCAACAGTAAGGAAGTTCCAGGAGGTGAACGGAATGGGCAAAACGATGACGAGGAGGAAGAGCCCGAAGATCAAGGGGACGACAATGACGATGACAAAGAGGAAGATGATGAAAATGGTGAAAATGAGGATGAGATAGAAGACGAGGAAGAGGATCAGGAGACTGATGAAGAAGAAGACGATGAGGAAGAGACACTTCGACCCCCCAAAAAGAGGAAGAAGTGATTTTTTGTTCATAGATTTTCTTCTTGCTGGAGCCCCTTATCTTATTACTTTGAGTTGTCATATTTAGGGGCACAAGTACTTGCTTAGGATAGTGGTTATGCATCAGAAGAATAAACTTTTATCTCTGAGATGTGGCATTGAGCTAATCTGTTCCCAAGTATAAAACCTCTCTGAGTAAACTTGTGCTTCTTGTGCTTCCTGTGGACAATGTTAGATCAAGCATTTTGATGAGCTAAATGATTATGGCTGCCCGGCAAAAGAGAAACAGCTGAATGAGGCTGCCGAACTCTTATCAGCGTCTTGATGACTTCTCTTAGGAAGCACCATGAATCTGTTTCCTCATACACTGTTGCTGTTACACTTCTATTTGTTTCTAAGAGCTCATCATACTATGCTCCTCCAAAGACATTCCTGTCTTCAGGAATATATGTTTTGTCAACAGGTTGTGAACGTGAACTCTTCGACTATGAAAACAGCATCAAGACAGAGTTGTTATAACAATGGTGAAGTACACATACTCGTCCATTCTATGAACGCTACATTCATCAGAATCACAGCTGGAATGCAGCCCGATTAAATTGAAGAAGAAGAAAGGTAGAAGAAGATGCGCAGTTCGATCAGGCGAGGGTGATGGAGGAGAAGTCGAGCTGCGAGGCGATCTCGTCGAGCTGCTTCTTGACGCTCATGTCGATGAACTTGGACCCCGACGATCCGTACCGGATGGTGAACCCGGCGATGAGCGAGGGGTCGAGCACCGCCTTGATCCTCACCTTCTTCGCCCCGGTGAGTCTCTTCACCGTCTGCGCGATCTGGGCGACGTCATCCTCCCCCATGTCCACCACCGACGTCACCACCGCGAGCTCCGTCCCCGTGATGTGGTTGTAGCATGCGTCGAACTCCTTCACGATCTCGGCGATGATGTCGATCCGGCTCATGTCCACGAGGATGTTGAGGAAGTTGACGGTGTGCGGCTGCAGCTCGGAGGAGCCGGAGATCTCCACCAAGATGTCCCGCTTCTTTTCCGGCGCCACCGTGGGGTTGGCGAAGAAGGACTGCACCGCCGGGTCCGCGAAGAGGCGGTCCACCTTCTCCATGTCGGCCACCGTCGCCTCCAGGGTGCCGTTCGACTTCGCCACTTCCGCGAGGGCGTTTGCGTAGCTCGACGCGGCCGTGTCCATCATGGCGGCGCCGGCTGCCCCGCGGTGGGTGCGGCTCCGGGAGAGCTTGAGGGAGGGAAGGCGGAGGTGGCGGGCGGAGGGAAGGCGGAGGAGGGAGGAGGATACGGGGACCGAGGTGGCTGGGGAGGACGCGGCGGATGCGCGGAGACCGGCGGTGGACGAGCGGAGGGCGGCCATCACCGCTCTCTTCCTCTTGGTAGTGTGAAGAGGGAGGGAGACGGCGGCGTGGGAAGACTCATTTTCTGGTCGAGACTTCCCGACGGTCTAGATTTATGATCGAGAACGATCGGACGGCCATAATGAATGCATGATCTTATCTCCTAGTTGCATCAGAGGAACGGCGGCCTCAGAGACCCAACGCAAATGACAGGTGGACACGTGGCTAATCCACGGATGAGGTTATCTGCAAGCGGGCAATTCCCGCCTCAATGAGAGCTCTGCCGATCGACGGCTTTGATCGCCTGGGTATTTTTCTGGATATTTCATTATGAGTGCAAAAACCATTTCAATCTTCCCAATTCAATATCGTTATTTCCTTCCAAGGCTAATAATAATACATATGGATTCGAGTTCATATTATTTTTCTTTTCTGACATGAAAATTAAGAGTATTTATTACATTGACAACTATTTTGATATCATGATGGATCAAAATTTTCGAATACATCACCGTATAAAACTCCTATAATAGCCTTTCAGAAGCGAGTTTAATTGGATTCGGGTGAAGTAAACGGGTCTCTACCCGTTTCCAGTAGGAAGGGGAGGCATGACCGTTAAACGACTAATGATATCCCAACTGGCCGAAACGGGTAAACCCGATAACTTGATATCCTTTAGTTCGTTTATGAGGAATGAAAACCCGCGACTCTAAAAACCCTGCTGCCGCTGTCTTAGGGTTTAAGGGGTCTCCGCCAAGAAGGCGAGCAGGGCAAGGCCTTCTGAGGTCTTATACTCGTGTGCTTTCCGAGGAAGGAAGCTCCCTACTCTTCTCTTTCTCTCCGCGAAGACGGCGCTTTGCGGCTGCGGGAAGCTGGCGAGAATAGCGGGGGCCATGGCGATGGGAGTTTCCGCCCGTGGAAGTGTCCTCAGACACCCCTTTCCATCGTTGACTTCTCCCTGGTTCTCGTCGTGCCTCCGCCGCGCGGTCTGCGTCATCCCATCGTCCTCGCGGGTCTCCCAAGGCCCGGACGTTGGAGGGTATTGCCTTCATCTTCTTTTTTCCTTGTGCTTGCACATCTTTTTGTTTTCTCGGTGGTTCACCATCCTTTTAATGGGCCTAGTGTTGAATTCGTTTTTTTTCTTCCAAGGATATAAATTTTCTTTCTTATGGTTGTTTTGAATTGAATATCCCTCGGTTGTTCGTCATTTTGGCAAGAATTGTAACTTTACCTGCGGCACACAGTTGATCGTTTAGCCTGTCGAACACTTTCTTCCTCCTCTATTATGAAGAGTATATAAACCAGCTATAGAAGGCCCAAGTAGACTGAGGGAAGTTCGTTGGGTTTCTTATGCATGAAGTTAAAAGTTGTGGCTCTGGTCATTTAGTCGCACACGTGATTTTCGTTTTGTTTTTCGTGAATATAACTTCAAGGTTGTTTTTTTCCTATTGGAGGATTGTCTGAGAATGATTCTGCTGGTTTCTATGGTCTTCCATGAAGAAATCGATTCAATACTTGATAAAATGATTTTCCTCGCATTCTAGATGTTTGTCCGGATCATCAATAACAACTTTGGGAAAAAAATAGTACATTTATTTCCCAAGATAAAACTGAATTGATTTCTCTTCTTCCATTTCTAGGGAAGAAGGCTCCAAGCAAAGGTGGCTTGTAGCAGCTGGCAGAATGAGGTGCGACAGAATACTTCGTTCCGCTCGGCTTCAATGGGTGGGTGGAAAGACCAACTTGTCGGACTCAGATTCTCATCCTAAAATTGGAAGTTCAGTGGAGCCAATTTCTCAAGAGTCACCCCATCCTTCAAGATACGTTTCACCCCCAAGACAAGAAGGCAGAACCGAATCCTACTCCACTAAACCTGATAAATCTTTAACACATGTTCAAGAGCCTTGTGATCCTGTTTTAGCAGAACGAAATGCTGTCCCTGGTGAGGCTGCAGGTTCCAATGGAATGTCCATCAATGGGCAAGATACTGGGACACCTTCTGATACGATTCCACCTGTTGAGTGTTTGCATAAGGTGGTAGACCAGAAACAACTTGCTCGTGTATACGACAAAGTAATTGTGGTTGATAATGTGTCAACAGCTAGACGAGTAGCCAAATTACTTATGACAAAGTACAAGAATTTCATCCATGCATGTGATACAGAGGTGAGTTGGCAGAACATATTGCTTTACCTGATAGTATGTGGCACAATTTCTTTGAGTGGAAATTGCTTGGAGTCAGTCTCATTGTGAATGTACAATAAGTTTTTGCAATTAATGTAGACAATTTAAAGGACTAAATGTCTTACATGAAAACACCTTATGGTGACTACCACTTTTATAGCCTGAAATGGCTGTCCCAAGGGCAATATCACTAGCTATATGCATCGATCGTACGGGTTGGCTAGATCGATCATTTCTCATCATTGAGCTTAGAGGGAAATTACTAGCCAAGCTAAGGGCTGCCACTATCCTAATATATTCATTTTGTAAAAGAACTTATATCTTTAACCCCTCCTAGCAACAATATTTTGGATTAACACAACTGTCCTAACTGGTGCATCAATAGTTCTTTGTTGGATGTCCAAATTACATTAAAAAAGTGTCTTATTTTTTAAGCCTTGATCGGTCCCCACCTGTGATTGTTCATGAATTCATACTTTCTTATTCTAGCTCAAACACCTTTTGAACTTTCTCATCCATATGGTATTAGCTTATAATATATGTTGTTTTCTAACCTTCTTCCAAATGGCTGTTCCATATGTCATAAATTTCATATAGTGTCTTGTTCTTTAGCATCCACATCATTTCTCTACGGTAGTTCTTTTTTGATGAACCATTTGTTTGCTTATGCTTTATATCTGTCAGTACAGATTTAAGTTATGCTTAGAAGATTACATTAACCCACAGTTAAAATCATAAAAATAGCCGATTGGTTATGGTAGTTGTGTCAAAGTTGCCTCAACCATTAACGTTTTGGCACCATGGATGCAGTTCTTATGTTTCCTCAGCTCCGTTGTTTGCTTCAGTATTTTTCTGCATGCATCATATCTTGTTGTTGTATACTCCAAGCATATCCCTACTCATGATCTCTTGAAAAATCCATGCACTTTAAATATTCATATAGATCTGCAGGTCCTTGACTCTCACTCACTCTCATATTTTCTGACTTATTTCAGTTTACTTTTTCTCCAATAGGTTGCCAAAATCGATGTAATGTCTGAGACG